TTGCCCTTGTTTTGAACCAGGAGTGCAATAGTTCAATTACTGGGTGTCAAACTTACATACAGAACCCTTTAATGATAAAATAACTTTTATCTTTGTCATGATGCCAGTACATAATATTTTACTAGATATTTTGCAGTATAATAGTATTCAGCTTAAAGTGCAATTTAAAGGCTTAACTAAGTTAATTAGGCAAGTTACGGTAATTAGGCAATGGTTTGTTCTGTAGACAATCGAAAAATTATTGTTTAAGGAGGCTAATAATATTGACCTTGAAATGTTTATTTTTTAATTTTTTTAATTTAACCTGCTTTTATTCTAGCCAAAGTAAAACAAATGGGGGTTGAGGAGGGTTCCGGAGTGAGAAGGGTGCTCGACTTATTTGAGTATTAGGAGGGAGATGGTGATTTGCGGGAGATTATCACTCGTTTGCGGGCATTATAAGTCCCGCAAATGCATAGAGACTATGGGAGACATGGGATGTCTGAATATCACGTTTAACAACTATAGTGAGACACGATCCAGCGGTACATCCTTGATAAACTGTCCAACGTGCACTGCTCTCTGCCTGGAGGTCAGAGGAGCGCATGACAGTGTGTGGCTGTGTGTGTGTGTGGCTGTGTCTGTGTGTGTGTGGTCACGTGATGTGCGTTTTCAGAGGACGGTGGGCTGTATTTAAATGCTAGGTAAAACACGGTGTGGATGTGAATCATTTTCGTTTTAAAATGCCAATTTAACACTAAGACGTATTAGTGTAAATGGGGCCTGAGTGTGTTTTTGTGCGAGTGGGTTTGCAACGGGGGCAGGGTGGGGATTGGCGATGCTGGCTCAGCATCGAATTGTCTATTTGCCATCGACGATGGCATCGTCTATCGGCCCTATATATATATATATATATATATAAATATATATAGCATGTGGTTTTTGGTTGTTGCATCTGTTGTTGTGCTGTTTTTGCAGTGTTTTTAGTCAAATATTTATTTGTTGCGATGCCCTTAACAACTTGTTAGTTTTAGTTAATATACAGCAGAAAATCTAAGCAGAAAAAAATAACAGGTTTGGCTCCCCCAACCTGTCCTCATCCTGCTTGTACTCTATCCTTGTTTATCCCTTTCCTTCTCGTCTGCTGTCTTCCCTGTTTTCCTTCAGGGCAAAGTCTGCTCCTCCATTAAGAACATACAAGGGTCCTTGACATTTAATTTCCTGTTTGTGCTGCTCTTTTACCCTCTTCCTGTGTGTCATACTCGCTCTCCTCCATCTCAGTGTCGTTCTCAGTTCTCCTTTTGTGTCACTTTCACTCCTGTTGGCTCATAATCCATGATTTTATCTCATGTTGTGCCTCTAAACATTGAGACAAAATACTAATTGATTATTATGATATATTGAGCTTGAACAGAATTATGCAGTAATTCAGTTTTCTTGAGTTGTTTACAGACAGTTCATATTGAAATGGTCATTCATTATTTGTGGCATGCAGTGTTTTAAAATGTAATATTTCGATAAGTAGCGACATTGAAATATTTGAAAAGGTACAATATTGCTCTCTCTTTGACATTGAGGTTGGCCCTTTGTATCTTTTGATTTGGCTCGCCAGAGGGAAAATGATAAAGGGTTGGGAATGCCTTGTTTGTTTGATTGTTGAGCTAAAAAAAAAAAAAGTTAACTGAAATGAAATTTTTCCATTAAATGTTGTAAATAAATCAGATTTATAAAATATGTACATACTGTCAACAAATACTAATACAACTTATTAATACAACTTATTAATTACAAATATTAATACAACTTAAAAAATAGGTGACGAAGCAGAAAAAATCAGCCCCTAAGTACAAAGGCTAGTCCAGCTTGACTAATGTATTTGGCATTAAACTCTTGTTTTATTAGTGGATTTTTTATTTTATTATATCATTAAAATAATTGACATTTTCAAAAACATTTGAGTACATTAATAAATAAGGATATTTCCCATGGAAACTTCAATTTAATACAGTTTGCTGTATTTAGAAAAGGTTTGGCCTCTTCATGTCTAGCCTGTCCTGTCCAGTGGACAATGGTGCCAGTGCAGTCGCACCAGCTATTGTTGAAGTGGAGAGACAGTGATAGAGCCAGTTCAGTAGATGGGGATGATTGAAAGGCCATGATCTGTAATCTGGAATTTGGCCAGGACACCAGGGTTACAGCCCCACTCTTTATGAGAAGTGCCATGATCTTTAATGACCACAGAGAGTGTCAGGACCTTGGTTTAACATCTCATCTGAAAGACTGTGCTGACTGACAGTAGGGTGTCCCCTTCACTACATTGGGACATTAGGACTCACACAGACTGTAGTTTTAGCATCCCCTGCTGGCCTCAATAACACCAACAGCAACCTAGATTTCCCATGTGGCCTCCCATCCAGGTACTGGCCAGTCTCAGCCCTGCTTAGCTTTAGTGAGTAACTGTCTTGGGCTGCAGGGTAATATGGCTGTGTTTAGTTAAAATAAGTTCACTTCAGTTACGGTTCTAAGTTAAGCTAGGTGAGTACTTTATTTTTTTTTTAGCAATAATTGAAATTAAGAATTATGATTTTTATTAGAATGGTACATGATTTAAAACAAAAACACATTTATTTTACTTGAAATATTTATTTTAACTGGGACTGAAAAATTGAGAAGGTAAAAATCCTTAACACTTTAAATTTTGCAAATGAAGGTGTTCATAATGTCGTTTCAATTCATGATGTTGCAACATTTTTCTGTGGTTTTGAAAATATTACTTAGTATCAATATATATTTTAAGGTATTATTGTAGTAAAGTGTCAGCCGTTATCCTATGATGTCCAAAATGCTGTAAATGTAATCCTGCTCAGTCTGCTCTATAAGGACTTTTGCTCATTAAAGAAATGTGCCTTTTACAGCAATTAACTTGGTGTGAGAACCTGTGGCATTTCAGATTGCGTGTGTGCGTGTGTTTGTGACTCCTGGAGTGAGATAAATGAACCTGCTTATGTCTGCGGGAACAGGTGGCTAAGTCAGCATGGTGGCCCGCCACACACACATGCACACGCTCACACACAGAGACCAGTAACAAATTGAGGCAATTTGTGTAAATTAAGAGATAACTAGACTGCTGCCCTTGTTGAACAGTCGTTGTGGTGTGTCCCCCCTGAGCCACTGTAATGAGGTTCTACCATATTGGCTGACATATGGATGTCCTTAAATGTGTCTTTAAAATAGCCATAAAAGTTAACCCCACGCACATCATTCTGCTGTCTTTGAAAATAGTGCTCGATTTGTGTGGGTCTGGTATTTATTTGTGTATTTTTTAATAGTACATGTAACCAGTTGATCCAATTTATACGTGATGATGATGAAAAATAGTAACAATCAAGAGTTTTTAAGGATTTAAATTTTGGTTTTATTTTACAGGTTTCTGTAAATATATCTATATGTAATTTATGTATCTAATCATCTGTTTCATTTTGTTTTAATATTTGTATCCTCTGTGGTAATTTTCAGTATCATCATCTACAATTATTGGCACCATTAGAATTTAACTCATTTTATTTATTTGTCTATTTATAAAAGTGGATGTATATAAAGGACTATTAAAAACTAATTGCTATTTGGAAAAATGTAAAGGTAATTTTTTTTCTCTCAGTAATAACATTTATTTTTTCTGCCCTTAAATTCCAGCCATTTAAATAGCTGTTTTCTCAAACAAATATCGTCTTGTTCTAATAAACTATACACCATTAAGAAAAAGCTTGCTTTTTCAGCTTTTAGATTAATGTATAAATCTCAATGACCGATTTTGTGGCCAACCAATTTCTGTATTGAGCTGTAAATTTTGTATTTTTTTAATAATTATTATTTTTTACTTGTATTGATACTACTAACCACAGAAATGTTGGTATGGTGAAACAAGAAAATGTGATGGTGGAAAAGAAACAAACTTGTGACAGAGGTTAAGAAAAAAAAATGGTGAAAGAAGCTTGAAAGAAAAGAGGTGAATTGTCTTTGACTTTGAGAAGAAATGCATGGCAGTGTGTATAGCTACATTTTTGGTTTGATGCATATCAGTGTCTGCTACTATGCATAGGCTATTCTATAAGCCTTATTAATTGGGCTATACATATGAAATATGTACATTTTTCAACAGGTTAAATATATGTATATGTTTGAACACTGATTTAAAATCGTATTATTTTTTATTAATTAATTTATTATTTTAATTCTCTGTGGTAATTTTCAATTGCATCATCTATAAATATTGACACCGTTAGTAAATAACAAATTATATATATAATTTTTGGTTGCATTATCTATAATAATTGGAACCACTAGTAACTCATCATTAAGAAACATAATAATAATAATAATAATATAAATAATAATAAAAATAATAATAATAATATATTTTATTATTATTATTATTATTATTTTTACATTTTCATTTTATTTATTTTTTTAAGTGGTTAAATAGAACAACTTTTAAAATTAAATTACTATTTGGAAAAATTCAAAGGTAATTTTCTCAGGATAATTTTTTTTCTACCCTTAAATTCTAGCATTCTCAAAAAAATATTGTCCTCCTCTGATAAACCATACATCAAAAGAAAGCTTGATTGTTCAAATTTCAGATTTTGTATAAATCTCAATTTCAAAAAAACTGCCCCGCATGACCAATTTTGTGGTCCAGGTCACATTTAGTACTGAGCTGTGTTTTATTTATTTTATTTTATTTTTTAACTTTTATTGATACTGACTACAAAAATAGTGGTATGGTAAAACAAGAAAATGTCTCAATAGAGAAGACACAAAATACCTTTAAACAAGTTTAGATTGAAAAAAAGGAACTTTTTGAGTGAACATCACTGTATGCTACTATGCATGGGCTATGCCCTAACACTTGACGCAAAAGTATGTGTTGGACTGTAGATGTAAAATATGTAAATTTTTAACATACATACGTTTTTTTACCACTGATTAAAATGTCTTTTTTTTCTCTTTTGTGTGTTCAGGTGAGTGTGGTGCAGGACTCAGTGAACATCTCTGGGCAGAACACAATGAACATGGTGAAGGTTCCTGACTGCCGGCTGGCAGACGAGCTTGGCGGACTGTGGGAACATTCTAGATTCACAGACTGCTCACTGTGTGTCGCCGGCCAGGAGTTTCAGGCACACAAGGCCATTCTGGCAGGTAACACACACATCCAAACAAACACATTTACATGCTGTTTATTCAAATATGCTGAGATGTTGTCCTGCGTAGGTTTAAAGAACATTATTGCAGATGGTTGTTGCAGATGATCAGTGAGTCATGTCAACTGTTATGGGCTGACTAATACTCCTCACTGCTATTTTAGTATTAAACTAAACTAGACATTATCAAAATACAGATTTTTATATCAGTTGATGGTACTTATCTTTACAATATTTTCAGTAGGTTTTTTATGTTTATTTACTAACATTTCAAACATTGTTAAGACGTGCTGAAGCATTGACCAACAGGTGAACATATCACTAATGAAACAAACAAAATCTAAAACTATTGGTCAAAACAAATCAAATTAAATGTAAACAATACATAATAAATGACATACTAAAACTAACCATATACTATACCAATCCCAACTCTAGACCTTTCCTTTACCACTACCCCTCTTTTTGCACATTCACGTGAAGGAGTAGGGGTGAGCCAATTCTCTTTAGCTTAAAGGCTTAGGGCTAAGGAGAAGGGCTAGATAGCCCTTAAAACTGAGATTTTTCCTTTCTGAAAGTCTAGTGGCTGGGAATGACCTTTTTACAGTGTCTGCTATAATGTTAATGTTATTTTTGTGTTTACATAATGAATATCACCATGGTGTAAATGCACAGTACAGTTATAATCTTATTGCCACATTATATCGTTATGATTACCATGATATCCTGATTTCCTGAAGATGAATACCAAAAAATAACACAACTGAAATAACTACAGCAGTCACCATCATCAGTCTCATATAAAGCAAGAAATTGCGATGACATATGATGACTTGTGCAGGTGCTGTAGTGATGTTTTATTTTTAAGGTGTACATTTAGACTCTTCCCCTTCACACTCTGTTTCAAGGACCAACGGGAAGGGGTACAAAAATAGAATTGGTATTGGGCCTATACTAACAAAAGTCACTAAAAACTATGTGAAATAAAACAGTAAAAAAATAATAAACACCTACATGTCTGTTTTACAAACAAATACTTCAAATTATATACAAAAAAGAATTGTATATAAAATAAAATGATTTAACTGGTTTTTTTATCTTTTGCCAAAAATATTGAAATATAAATATATAACAAGATACTGGAATTACTTCTCTGAAGGTTTGGTCAATATTGACATGACAGATTTATTGGTTGCCCATCTATGATGTGAATTTCCTGTTCAACCACATCCCAAAGATGCTCTGGTAGAGATCTGGTGACCGTGCAGGCCATTTGAGTACAGAGAACTTATTGTCATGTTCAAGAAACCAGTCTGAGATGATTTGCACTTCATGACATGGCGCGTTATCCTGTTGGAATTAGCCATCAGAAGATAACTCAATATAAACGTGTTCACCCAAAACGAAATCTAACAAGACAATTAATGACACAAACTAAAACTTAAAAAGGTACAGCTAATGTAAAAAAGTATCAAAATAAAAACATTTAAAATGCGAAACTATTAAAACCTTGGACATTACAGACAGAGAAACATGCACTGACCAGAGAGGCATCTTAGATATGCGGTCAGGTGAACATTTGCATTGCTTTCTGCCAGTGTATGTCTACTATATGAGAGGGCAGTAGCTTTGAGAAGTCTCTCTCCTTCTCGCTCTCTCTCTCTCTCGCTGTCACTCACTATGAGGCGGGATTCCTCGTTATCTGGCCGTACCTGCTAGTGCTCATTAATGGCCGTGGAGACGGAGCTGATCGGCTGGTGTCTGAGCTGTGATTAGAGCATGTGTGTGTGTGAAGGAGAGAATGTGCCAGACTTCACACGCTACTTTAAACAAGTTAAAGTTGCCCTAGACAGATCCGACTCCATATCCAGGCTTAAGAGAGAGAGAGAGAGAGAGCCGCCATCATCCCCTGGGTTAATCAGCCGAAAGGTTCAGCAATTGCACCAAGGCTCAAATTGTCTGAGGAACCACTTTCAAATGTTTAGTTTTTGATGTTGATGACTGAAATATTTCCTCCTTGTTCACTGTCCCCCTCTTATGGTTTCACAAAAAGTGCCATACAAATGAATGGAATTGGTTGTCATTGAAAGCAAGGCTGCGCATTTCTTTATGAAAAAAGGTAGACTATAATGTGCCTTTCTTTTCCAAGTTTGTAGTGGCTTTTTTGCCGCCTTTTTTGTTCTGATTCATCTCTGAAGTAGTTGATATGGTTCATTGAATGAACTTTTTATCGAAAGCAATTTTGAAATTGCCTTCGGAGAATGTGAATAGAAAAATACTTGGGCAACCAAGGCTGCTGAAAAAGTGGCCTGTCGATGTTTCGTTTTATGATTACCTGATTTTTTTTTTCCTTTTCCTAAGTTTGTGTTTGTAAAACTTTTTTCTCTCTCTTTCACTTTCTCAGCACGTTCTCCAGTATTCAGCGCTATGTTTGAACACGAGATGGAGGAGAGTAAAAAGGTGAGTCTGTGTTTATTTTCCCTCCTTTCTGCCTCCCATTTTCTTTCATTATACTTCAAAAGCAGTGATGCAGCTCCCCATCCTTTTAGGCCGTCCCAATCACAGAGACTCTAAAACAGTTTACGATCATGCACAGCTTGTTTTTTTTTTAATACAGGTGTCTCATTTCTTCAGTGTTTATTAGTTTATTATAGCTATATTAGTGGTCTCAGTAGAACACAAATCCATCCTACCTATCAGAGGCCTAATTTTCAGTCCAGGCATGTGTGTGTGTGTGTGTGTGTGTGTGTGTGTGTGTGTGTGTGTGTGTGTGTGTGTGTGTGTGTGTGTGTGTGTGGTCTAATAACTCCACATTTGCAGAACTGCTCAACTGTACAGTCTTCTTGCTTGGTTTCAATACCCCATCATAAATCACTATTTGCTGGAGTTTTTTTCTTATGTGGCTTTTAATATGGCAGTCATGTTAGGCCTGATATAGATCAGAGCAGTGAAGTTTGTTCATAGTGTTAGTGTTTGCCTGTGTAAATTGGGAGGGTTGAATGTGTCTAATAAAGACTGAAGATTGGTGATTTAATTCATGTCAAAATGAACACTTTCAGTTAGTGAAAGGATTTTTTATTGATTCATTTATTACATCAATGGACCAAAAACATTGATGTAAATGATGTAATAATTCTTTCACCTTTTGAGGAACCAAATACTTTAAGGGCACCTAGTTTACCCCCTTTTCCAGATTTAATATAAGTCTTTTGTGTCTCCAGAATGTGTCTGTAAAGTTTCAGCTTAAAACACCCATCCTATTATTTATTATACCTTTCAAAAGATTTTTAACTCTAAGCATCTTGTAGTGTTTGTTGTGGACTGTGCCTTTAAGGCTAGTCCTCCCCGCCCATCGTTCCCACGTGCCTGTCAGTGTGCCACAATCTCCACCCTCCACTGCGTTAGGCAACCTGAAGGAAGCAGATCTCAAGTAACGTTTGCGAGAAATACTACAGTAAGAACTTTACCAATGATTATTTGATGTGTTTGTTGTGGAGTTGCAACGATGAGTCACACACAATGTCGTTACAAAGTTCACGATCACACACAGACAGCGAACACACACAGACAGCGTGCGCGTTTAGGTCTGCACTGTTTTTGCACAGCAAATGTGACAGGATACAGGTTAATATCCACTGCTGTATGGATATCCGCTTTGTTAATGTACGAAATAAACCTCATTTAACATCCACAACCCAGGAATAAAGCGTTATTTTTATAATTGTAGTGACATGCGGCTGTGCTGATATGTAAAGCTGTAGTAAATCGCTGTAATTCATTACACATGCACTGTTTTAAAAACTTGTAAAACTCATTCTTGATCACATTTGATGATGATTGATGATCACAGAGAGCTTAACAGATCTTTTATTCCCGGTTTCTTTGAGCACGTCCTGTCTTGTTGATATGATTATACGCATACTATGGAGACATGTTAATATGCAGCTGTCAATCAATTCGATGGGTGGGGAAACCACACTCCTATGTCAAGTTGCGGTCAGCCTTAAAAATGGGAGGCATTTGGATTCTATTTTAATGTCTGGAAATTTAAAAAGGATGCTTATTGTCTTTATATCACCCCAATATGACTGTGGACACACTATACCAACACACAGTTTGGTCCAAACAGCTTAAGAAAGATGATTTTCATCATAGGTGCTCTTAAAGTCTGTGGAATCATAATTTAACATTTATTTTGCTAGTTCACATTGTTATTCTTAAAGTGAATCATTTATTTAGTTAAAATGTTTGCTTTGGTAATCTGCAATAAAAGTTTGAAAAAAGTGGAATGTAATGACATTTATTTTGTATGTTTGCAACAACATTGGTATTAATGGCAACAGCTAAAAATAATTCATTGCAATGAGCTGAAATGAAAGCAAAACATTTAAAGTTGCTCATTAAATTAGAAATGGTGCCTAAAATCTACATTTTACTGCTAAAATGACTAATAGAAAAAAAATAGGCAAAAATATTTTTTTCGCTACTAATAAATACATTTATGCATAAAATTTTTGATGTGATAATATTAATGAAATTGCAATAGGAAATGGGAATGTATACATCACAAAATATATACACAAACACTTTTTTGTAATGCATTTAATAATTTAAGCACTTTTTTTTTGAGACAATAGAATAATTAACAAAAGATGTAATGAAACTTATTTTAATGCATTACATTTAACTAGAGATGCAGCGATTAACCTATTTCATTATTAACCACACTTTAAATTGTCATAGTTAATAAATGGTAAAGGCCTATCAACAGAACCATTACATTTTGAACAAAATAAAAAGTTATCCCAACTCTGCGACAGCTTAAAGTTCAGACATTATAAAATACGCATTTTTTTGGTCCTCACGCAGTTTAGCGCACAGTCATCCTGTCATATCCATATATAAATGACCATTTTTCAAAATAACGTGAGATCACATGATAAGCTGCTGCTTTCTCTTATGGCTCATTTGCCAAGCTTGCAAGATTTAACATTGGACTTTATTAATGCAACTTTGTTGTCAGCATGCTAACAGTGCTTCTGTTCATCATTGATCTAATGTAAAAATTCACATGAACATTAAGACAGTCACTTCTGCTTAAGTTATGCAGAAATTAGAAAAGTCTTCTCTCAGCAATTAACCAAATCCAGAGATGTTGACCTTGTTTAATTTTGTTTATTTTCACCGTACTGTATTTCTCAAATGATACTTTTGCAGTCAAAAGCTAGCTAGAGTTTTTTTTTTCTTCAATGCTTGTGTACATATATTTGTAGAAAAAAATGCATTACATCAAAAAACAGAACAATGCTATAATGTAGTCAATCAAAAGAGCCTTTTAGACAGAGGTTAACTACATTTGTATTATTTATGTGACTTGTATATATTACAAATAGACTAATTTATATTTAGATTATTTTCAGGTTTAATATATTGCTATGTCAAAACCTTTTTTCACTTTCACTTTGGATTCCAAATTGTCTGTCGTTTGTTTTTATTTTTGTGCGTTATTATTTGGTTGCTGGCAAAATTGACGAATGTATAATAATCGTGAAACCATAATTATTCCTCAGACTACAATCTTACCATCAAAATCTACTGTATAATCATTGCATTATTTCACTTAATCTCTTAAAGTCAAGTGCTATTTTGGGATTTCCACCTGGATTTTGCCTACACAAATTTAGAAGCTTCCCAAATCCACATGCAGAGGTATAAATGCTAATGTTTGGTAACGTTTTAAAGAAAACCCTTTGAATTTGAGTTGAACACTGTTGAAAGTGATTAAAATAATTGAATATGTTGCCTTTTTTTGTATAGTGGTACATAAAAGGTGCATATTAGTACCCACATAAAACGTACTTTTGACTAAAAAGTACCTTTGAGGTACCATTATGGACCCTTCAGGTACAATTATGTACCTTTTGAAAAGATACTGCCCCTGTATCTTTATTTCTGAGAGTGTGTGTGGTCAGGGTTGCTGTAATTAATTGTGTTGGTTTTTGCATATGTCAGTATTCATGGGAAAAAAAAAGAAAAATGTCTCTATCATGATCTATGCAAAGGTTATTCTATTCCAACTGATGAGAGAACGGAACAACTTATGGGGGTATTGGGCCAGTACGGACCTTTAAAATTTAAAGAATGCAGATGAAAATTATGTCATAGACCCAGAACCTGGTCCCAGAGTTTAGGAGGTTAACCCAAACTTTTATTTAATTTGACAAAATTTACTTAAGATCTAGTCTGCATCCAAAATCGCATACTTCAATACTGTATACTACGCTAAAATCAGTATGCGAGCCGAGTATGATGTCCAAATTCATAGAATTTAAAAAAACAGTATGTGAGAAGTACCCAGATGACCTTACTACTTCTAGCAAGATTGTGAAGTAAGCATCTAATAGATGCTATCCCATGATGCCCTGCGAGAGAATTCACGAATGGTAGTGATGCAATTTGCGAGTGTAGGTCACATGATCATTACAAAATGGCAGATGTAGTTCGTCCAAGTTCCATTCATACTGCCCACGTTTATACAGTAAAGAGTGTACTTTTTAAACAGCCGAGTAGTAAGTTTCAATTTAATTGCAGTACCTACTGAGTAGTAGGCGATTTCAGACGCAGCCCAAGTCACCTAAATTCATATTTTTAGTTTGCTAAAACCTAAAAATGTTCAGGTGACTTAACTAAAACTGAACTGCATTTTAATTAATGAATAAAACCGAATCAAAGTTTGCTGTCGGAACTGATCGAAAACAAGTTAGGAAGTACTGCAATAAATATATAAATATAATACTAAAACTATTCTTAATTACCCTGATTGCCCGTTATTCTCCCCCCAAAACACTTCCTGGTCTTCCTCTTATCATCATCTTCTATGATATTCCTATGTTTCACCATCTGCTGATCCGCTGTTCCTCTGCCTCCCTCCTCCTGTCGTTCTCTCCATATCCCCCCTTTCCCAGAGTTTCATCATGCGCTGTTTTTTGGGACAGGATGTGCTTGCGTTTGGGGTTTGTGGAGCAGTGAGATTTCCTGTTGCTCCTTTCGCTTGTGTGGCTTATTAGCTTTGTGAGGATCCATGCAAATATCTGAGACCAAGTTTAGTGTGGAAGAGTGTGTGGTTAATAGATGAATGATGCGATCAGGGCTCAGTTTGAAAGCGAGTGTGTGCGCGTGTGTCAGGTTTAGATGACGGTTGGGGCTCAGTGATTTGGTTGCGGTGTCTGTAGAATATTGATGGCTTTGATGCTCCAATAGAGAAAATCTGAAGAGAATTGAGAGGAAATGGCTCATCAGAGAGAGAATAAACTGATGAGTTGCCCTTTACATCTAAAGGAAAGACTCCTGAAATCTGCTCATGAACTTGAATGGCTGTTTTAGTGACTTTTCACACTAGAGCTTCTGTAAGTTCTTTGATGTCCAAGCTTGGACTAGGACTCACTGATAATGGAAAAACATGCGATGTTGTCGAGTATTGCGGTAATGATATAAATTTCCGGTGTGAATGCTGTTTTTCTTAACTATTTTTAAAAAACTTAATTTATTATAGTAATGATTGATCATATGCAAATAAATGCACACTAGTTATTTTCTGGTCTTATTAAATCTAATCTAGGATAATAATAATAATCAAAACTAATGCAAACATTTTGACTTTGCTGCGTTCAAGTCCTCTTAAGATTTTCCTACTTATGATTTCAGATTTATTCATGTATTTATATTGTATTTTTAAATTCTGTGTAGTCTTTTGAAAAAGTACAGGTAAATACAGCAGGTTTTGCTAACTGCTCAGATAAAACTATTCACAAATAATTCACTTCAATTGTGTTTTGTCACTGACAACCCAGAAGAGTTGACTTTGCATCCATTAAGTATCCTACTCCTCTTTATATAATAAGATATATAATGGTGTATACAGCATGTATTTCTCTGTTATAGATCAGTGATTCTGCCATGTCTCTCTCTGACACACCCCCAACTTAGGTTAAAGAAAGTATTGAGTTTCCCCTACTTGTAATATTGGCTTTGTGGTGGCATTTATGTCCGTTCATTCATTCATTTTCTTTTTTTAACTTAGTCCCTTTTATTAATCTGGGGTTGCCACAGTGGAATTTAGCTCACCCAATTTACCTATAGTGCATGTCTATGGACCTGTGGGGGAAACCGGAGCACCCGGAGGAAACTCACGCAAACACGGCGAGTCATTCAACTCATAAATACGTTTTTTATTCTATATGACTTCACCATATGATTGACTAAAAACCTTGGCAGACATTTTGATTCTTATCGACTGTTGTTTTTTTTCCCTTATGTATCTACTCCCGCCATTATTATTTTAAGGTTTAGGCTGTTTTAGCCAATAGCATAACAGATTCTGCTTGGGGTCTGGGTAAAAAGATAATAAAGCCCCATCTGATTAGCAACCTCTCAAAATTCATCGCTTCAATCTACAATACAAATGCATATAGAATTAATGTAGCAATGATAATGTTTTCCATAAAAAAAGTAAAAAAAAAAAAAAACATATATATATATAGTGCAGTTCTAATTTGACCATTATTCTTTTATATTTTTAGTCTTTTTAATGGCATTTTTAGTTGGGGAATGGTGAAAACTTCATAGAAAGTCTGTATTCTTTATCTCAAATCATGCATTCACAGCAGGCAGATTCAAAAAATAGCAGACAGGAAAGTGATAGAAAAACAAATTCTGTTGTACAAAACTGATTGACTTTCTACTGTGGAACAAACATTTCCTATGTATATTTTCAGGTTTGGTCAATCAATTGCTTTGAAATTTTGCCTGCAGAATTGAATAGACAAACAGATCATAATGACAAGCTTTCATTTTATTTTATGAATTTTTCAAATTTATAGACGTAACTTTAGGTACTCGCAGTCATGAGATAATTATCACTGTTCATTGCAAAAAATAATAAAAATGCATGGCAAAGGGAGGTCAATGAACTCTCGATGAATCGTGTGAAAAAGGAAGTAAAACTCTCAATGAAAAGTGTTTAAAAAAATAAAAGAGTGAGATTTGACTTGCTGCACCTTTAGGCTACAGAAACTTTTATTTTCTATTGTGGCCTTTAATAAATAGTTTTGTTAGAGGAAACTTTTTTTTATTTGACCTTGCCATGTGTCTGTGTCTGTTGGTGGGGTGCTGCTCCTAACAGTTGCTGCATTAATTGGTTTAGCTGTGATGGACGGTCTGGGACGGGGAAAAAGCCTTTGTTACCAGCACGACAATTGAAAAAGAGCTTGAGCTCTGGCAGCCTTGGGCAGAAGAGAGGAACTCGCAGCGCTCATTCTGCAACATTGATCAGGGCAGCAACAGGAAATGGACTGAACTTTATTATTAATTTGCTTTTTTTTCAGTCACCCTGTCCTTTAGCGTGCGCACATGCCATAATATAGAACAGGTCAGTGGTTGTGTGAGTTCGGTATAGAGGCACTCTAGGGATACCACAGGAGCAGCTCATGAGTGCTCAAAGGCCAACATCTAACACCGTATTATGTTATTCATCTACAGCAGCAGTTTTAATGCTCTAAACTACATGAGGTCCAATAGTTTTACCTATTAAAACTACTGAAGTAGTCGGTACTTTGTCATTGTCTAGTAATAAAAATTGTAATGTTGTCACAATATTGTAATTTCGGTGCAAATCAGTACTGAGGATTAAAAAACATCCATTTTGCGCTAGCATTTGAGCAATGTTGAGCGTGTACTTAACAATAATATAATCAAAGTAATTCCTGTGTAAGCGCGGGAACAAAATGGCCAATTAGTTGTGTTTAAGTACATGCTCAAATTTTAGCAGGAAATTGGACGTTTTTAAAATTCCCTGTACTGATTGATATCGCAATTTCAGTATCGTGACCACACTAAAAAGTTGCATAAATTCTGGATCAACTCTAGAATGAAAACAGACTACTCTAAATGTATTAGCATGTCTACACTTGAAGTGTCTGTTTACATCATATAGAGCTACGCCTATGGTCTAACAGCATTAAATAAATAACTAATCTGCATTCCTCTACTAATAAATAGATTCATGCATCTATTTTATGATTTGACATTATTCATGGAATCGCAAGTATTTTTGTTAAAACATTGATGATCTGCAAACATGTGCAGATGGTCTGTAGAAGCTGAACTGAGAAGCTAAAGCCGATCTGAGATTCTCTGAGACTGTAAGATTAGTTAGACTCTGCTGTCGTTTCTTGTCCAGAACCGTGTTGAGATAAATGACGTGGAGGCTGAGGTCTTTAAAGAGATGATGTTCTTCATCTACACTGGCAAAGCACCCAACCTGGACAAGATGGCTGACGACCTGCTTGCTGCTGCTGACAAGGTGAGCACACCAAATTTAGTTAAATATCTGCCAAACTGCATTTCTTTGACTTGCAAAACGTTGCTTGTTAAATGCCTGAATTATCTTTTTTTTTTTTAATCGTGCATTTACATTTATTTTCTTGGCAGGCACATGCAAATTAACTGAATGTGCACATGCTGTAAAACATCAACAGGCGATGACTGCCAATAGTAGAGCCATACCTGCTGTTTTTTGATAACTCAAGCGTACATGTACAGGTTTATATAAAAGTGGATGTTTCTGTCTTTAGTATGCTCTGGAGCGGCTGAAGGTGATGTGTGAGGACGCGCTGTGCACCAGTCTGTCTGTGGAAAACGCAGCAGAGATTTTGATCTTGGCCGACCTGCACAGTGCAGACCAGCTCAAGACACAGGCTGTGGACTTTATCAACTAGTGAGTAGTGTTCAAGTCAACTGCTTTAGATTTGACCTACCCTGCCCTGGCAACATTTTCAGAGGTCTCACCAAAATTATAGATTTGAGTTTAAAATAATATTAAAAGTTTAAGAAATTTATTTTGCATTGCTTCTAAGGTTTACAATCACTATTCGATTCTGAGCTTAGTTTTTAACAGCTGATAGCGCTGTATGCTTTACAACAGCTGTAGTCTAGTTAGATTTCTTACAAATACCACTTGAACCTAAAATAATCATTGATAAAATTAGGAAAGGTTTGAGCAAATTAAAAGCGTTCATTATAATCTGTTATTACATTGGCCTGAAAGCAAAAGCGGTCATAGTCATTAGCATTTGAGTCTATGGTTAAAACTAGCCTAGAGCACCATCTGCTAGCCCTTGAGTGTGAGCTACTGTTTACAGATGAGCTTAGAGTGCCATCTGCTGTTTAAAACTAGCATAGAGTGCCATCTGCTGTTTAAAACTAGCCTAGATTGCCATCCGAGCATAATCTGCTGTTTAAAACTAGCCTAGAACATCATCCGCTGTTAAAATCTAACTTAGAGCATACATATCTACTGTTTAAAACTAGGCTAGACTGCTATATGAGCACCATATGCTGTTTAAACTAGCCTAGAGTGCCATCTGTTATTAAAAAAACTAGCAGAGTGCCATCTGATGTTTTTAAAACTAACCTAGAGCATCATCTGCTGTTAAAATCTAACCTAGAGCATATCTACTGTTTAAAATCTAACCTAGAGTGCAATCTGCTGTTAGAAATTAACCCAGAGCCCTATCAACTACCCTAGAGCCTCATCTGATGTATAAAACTATCCCAGAGCATCATCTGCTGTTTAAAACTAGCCTAGAACATCATCTGCTGTAAAAATCTAACCTAGAACATATCTACTGTTTAAAAACTAACCTAGATTGCCATCTGGGCGTCATCTGCTGTTTAAAACTAGCCCAGAGTGCCATCTGCTGTTTTTAAAACTAGCCCAGAGCACCATCTGCTGTTTTTAAAACTAGCCCAGAGCACCATCTGCTGTTTTTAAAACTAGTCTAGAGCATCATCCACTGTTAAAATCTACCCTAGAGCATATCCACTGTTTAAAAACCAGCCTAGAGCGCAATCTGCTTTTAAAAACTAAACTAGAGCCCTATATACTACCCTAGAGCAACATCTACTGTTTAAAACTATCCTAGAGCTTAATCTGCTGTCATAAACTAACCTAGAGCCCTATCTACTACCCTGTAGCACCATCTGCTGTTTAAAACTTGCCTAGAGCGTAATCTGCTGTTATAAACTAACCTAGAGCCCTATCTACTACCCTAGAGCACCATCTGCTGTTTAAAACTACCCTAGAGCTTAATCTGCTGTTATAAACTAACCTAGAGCCCTATCTACTACCCTAGAGCACCATCTGCTGTTTAAAACTATCCTAGAGCGTAATCTGCTGTTATAAACTAACCTAGAGCCCTATCTACTACCCTAGAGCACCATCTGATGTTTAAAACTTTCCTAGAGCGTAATCTGCTGTTATAAACTAACCTAGAGCCCTATCTACTACCCTAAAGCACCATCTGATGTTTAAAACTAGCCTAGAGCGTAATCTGCTGTTTAAAACTAGCCTAGATTGCCATCAGAGCACCATTGGAGTGCCATTTGCTGTTTAAAACTAGCTTGGAGTGCTATCTGCTGTTTAAAACTAGCCTAGAGCTTCATCTGCTTCTGTTTAAAACTAGCCTAGAGCTTTATCTGTTGTTAAAAAAAATAGACTACAGCGTCTCCTGCTGTTACAAACTAGTCCAGAGCGCCATCTGCTGCTTAAAAACTAGCCTAGAGTGCCATCTCCTTTTAAAAATAGCCTAGGGCGCTTAAAATCTCAGAGTCGATGCAGAATTGGTTTCTAAAATGATTTTTCGCCACAGCTCTTGTTGTGCGAAAATGTAGTCTTCAGTACAGAATGTTTACTGTATGCACACAGCACATTTTTTCTTTTGTTTATAAAATGTATGCACAATTCAAATACACACTTAATTTGAATTTATACTACTTAGTTTGTCAACAAGATGTCAACGCTGAATCAAGCCATGTTTCATTGTTTCATGTTTCATTTCAACAAAATACTAAAGAGAAAAACTATACTATACTATACTATACTATACTATACTATACTATACTATACTATAAAAAAAACTAACAAACGGGAGCAAAACCATTGTGAACCTTTATTAAAAGATATCCACAGCGATTTTAATTGCGTTTAAAGGCATTTTTGTCACTCATAACTCATTAAGGGAAAAAGCGCAGACAATGGACGAAGATAAATCTTTCAAGCACACCATATCAAATGGAGTACACTTTGAAAGTAGTCCACTCAACGCTAAACATAAAGTATACTTTGGCCTTTTAAAATGGCAAACAAATGTTGAGTTCTTTCACTTTACTGCTTTGTTCACTTGTTGTCCTCAGTTTGTCAGCCCCCCTCTCTGTTCTCTTCACACTTATCTTTCATGCTCTATTTTGTATTTTTTTTACTAGCTTGTTCAGTCTCTCTTTGCTCCAGCTTTATTGGACAGTGTAATTTTGAGTTCATTTTGTGGATGGCAGTAACTTGGCTGGCATGAAACTGGACTCTGGCCATCTCATTTCAGCTCTCTCTCTCCATCTCTATACACACCACCCACCGCCACAACAACAGCAGAGACAGAGGGAGATCAATAACAAGGGCAACACAGAAAATAAACATGCACACCAGCCCCTCCTCCCAAAATGATTCGTCCTCTCTGCCCTTCTTTTCCTGCATTCATGTTTTCTGCTTCTGTTATTGCTTTATGTGCTCGTACTTCTCTCATCAAATTGTTTTATTTCAGCATGTAGGAGTTTAGTGTCAGAGTTCAGCAGCTTTCCAACAGTGCCAGACTCTGCCCAGTCATCACAGGACAATGGCTGCCAGTAGGAGCGTCACTAGCGCTCAGCCAAATTAATTGATATCAATACATTCAAAACAATAGGATGAAAATAGAGATGCTTTCTGTTGTGCTGCCCTTTCTTTTCGAACTCTATGACAAACTCGATAACTGTAGGCTGATTTAAGAATAAATGACTTATAATCTGATTTATTTTTATTTAAAAAAAATTTTCAGAGCGTGGGTTGGGTGGATATTATTGCACATTTATTTGGCAAAAATAGGGTTTATCCTTAACTGTCATCATCCCACCACCATTGACTAATCATTACCTACTATATATTGTTGCAACAGTCCAAGACTTCTGAATGCAGATTTATGTTTAGTTGCAAGAGTAATAGATTAAAATCTATTCAACGTCACCCTACAACCTGTGGGAACTTTTATGGTTAGACTTTTAAAGCGTAATATTGTAGTTTAAACCTAAAGCAATGATGACTAACTGTATATAATTTGAAAGCTTAATTTTGATTTTCCATATATGGTGAGGGATTTGTGATAGATATTACTGAGCAACCGTTATTTATTAATTTGCCACACGGATACTTATCAGAGTCGTAAAGCATTACTTTGCTACAGCAATCCACATGTAAAAATTTGTTTAGACATTTTTTGATTTTTTTTAGAGGCTAAATTCAAATCAATTACCACCAAGCTGCCAATTCTAAAGAACAATATTTTTACCTTACAAATTGTCAAAAGAATAAAGTATGAAGAAAATACAATTAATATTCCTCAAATAATATTCCATGCATGGTCATCAATGTTAACTGAATGTTAGCTGGTAGTCATTTTTGAAACTCCGGCCAAACAAAATCTTCCTGAAAAGGCACTTTTTTTAAGATATCAACTTCAAATTTAGAATATATTTTGTTCAGATATTCAGCTTTGATTTTCTGTCAATTTTCTGTCAAAAATGTGCAGTGCACCAATCTTGCCTTATAACAAATACAAAAAATGCAAGGAATCTTTTAGAAACTTAAGAAGAAAAGACTGTTTCGTAAATACGGTAAAAAGTGGTAACAGCTCACCATCCCCGAGTGCTTTAACATCCTTATCATCTGGAGAAAGGCAAGAATTGTTTGGGGTTGCAACGGCCAACAAAACAGAGTTTGCTTTCAATCCAGTGTCACAGGTTTAGGTTAACTTAGCACAATTGAGTAGATTTTTTTCAGTCAGGTGTTGAAACTACATAATCTTGGTCAGATACTTTCGTTTTATCGTACATGGGCTAGAAAATCTTGCTTAAAACAGAGATCCGGGTGAAGGCAGTAAAAGTAAAACCTGATTACTGGAACTCAATTCTTGACATTCCTCATGACGGTCAAAACTGCTAGAGGACCTTACACCGTATGACCAAAAAACTCATTTGTACTTAAGCCCAAACTTGTGCCGCCAACATCAACTATGGTAGACCATCTTCCCAGTCTCTGTTTAACTCAATTAACTGTTTAAGCCAATTAGCGTCCAACAGTGACTTCAGAGACTGATAAAAAAAAAAAAAAAAACGCTCTAATGCACCCTAAATTTGCACATGATGCACGCTAGAACAATTGTGTTTAATGCCAAGCTGTTTTAAAACCTCCGCAAACATACCTGAAGTAAAATTGGTCCCTCAATCACTTTCCACTACTTTGGGTATCCCAAAAGAACATACAAACTTACAAATATTCTTAAAAATTTCTGAAAAGACTGACCCATGTAACATGACTTGCAGAACATTTTGGAATGGTGAAAAGATTAAAACATTATTTACTGTACTAAAATGCAAATTAAGGATGGATCAATATAATGTCACTGTATCAATCAGTGTTTTATTTATTTATTTATTTATTTTGATATTGATTTCTATCGTGCATGCTTGTCTATATGGTTTCAAAATGTAGATTATATTTGCTTTAATCTCACTCAATTAAAGCTAATCTTGAAAAACATGTATTATAATTAATAACTCTCAAAATCAATACGCTGTTTTACTGTGCAAGTTGGCCTAATTCAGCATTTTAAAACCTATTATTATTTGTTTTTTTATTATTAGGTTGTTGACCAAAATGTCAATTATTGGGTTTTTTCAGCTACATATAATGTGAAAGTATTGATTATAATTATAATGTCAGTGCATCTTGATAAAGATTTTAATATTGATTTGGAGTATATTGTGCATGCTCATCTGTCTTGCTCCTGTATTTACATTTGCTTACATCTAACTCAACTAAAGTTAATCATTGAAAACATTTTTTTATTAAAATGAAGCATCTCTGAATATCAATATGCTGCACTACTGTATATTATAATGTTACTAGGCCTAAATGAACAACATTCAACATAATGAGTTAAATTTTTTAATTAGTTCATTAGTCATGGTTAATTGGTCATTTATTGATTATTATTAGCTATAACATGAAAGTATCGACCAGTAGTGTGACGTCAGTGCATTTTTGCGAGAATTTAATTTAATTAAATTTTATTTCTATAACGCTTTTACAATGTAGATTGTTTCAATGCAGCTGAACATAAAAGTTCTAGTAAATTGAAACAGTTTTCAGAGTCGAAGTTCAGTTTAGTTCAGTTTAGTGTGGTTTAATTTTCACTGCTGAAAGTCCAAACACAGAAGAGCAAATCCATTGATGTGCAGCTCCACAAGTCCCCACATCTTTATAAAGATGTCCCATTCTCACCATGTCTCATGTTATTGTTGGTTGCAGACACACATCTAATTCTCCCTTCCATAATGTGCCAAGAAATCTCAAAACTCTTGCATTATACCAGTGTAATGCATGAATCTTGAGCAACAAGCACTTTTATTTTGTTCCTGAACTGTGGAAAACTTGATAATTATGTACATTATTTACGAGTCTCCCTCCCACTGGCAAATTTACAGACACATGCTTTTTCTAATAAAAGCTGTTTTGGCTCTTTGCCCCTGTTTTTCATTTTGCGTTTATTGTGTAAAGCTTGTGTTTGTAACCTGTTCTTAGTGGAAGGTTGACCGCGCAGTGACCTTTTATGCGTTGGGGAAAGTGTTACGGGCATCTGCCCGCAAGGCCTCCTGTCGACACTGCCAGCAAGAGCTGCAATTAATGCCAAGTGTTTTGGGGGCAACGGCATAGTGGGGTTAGGGAGAGGTCAGCATCTCACACACAAACACACTCCAGCTAAATGTCGTTAAAGGCCATTTTTTGGTGCGCGTGATAGTGCAGCTCGAGTGCCCTCAGGGTGCTGAGCTCAGCGAAGAGGATTGTGTTCTCAATGTTGCACTTATTTTTGTTCTCTTTCTCAATTCAGAAAAAAATCAAATTGATACTGACAAATGTATTGTCAAAGCATTTATAAAGTTTATATTAAAAAGATCCATCCATCCAAATGTCTGTTACTACAACCATCCATCCATCCAAATGTCTGTTACTACAACCATCCATCCATTCAAATGTCTGTTATTAAAACCATTCATTCAAAGGTCTGTTATTATATCCATCCATCCATTCAGATGTCTTTTACTACACCCATCCATTCAAATGTCTGTTAATACAACCATCCATCCATTCAGAGGTCTGTTATTACATCCATCCATTCGTACATCTATTCAAATGTCTGTTACTACATCCATCCATTCATTTAAATGTCTGTTACTACATCCATCTATCCATTCAAATGTCTGTTATTACATCCATCCATCCATCCATCCATCCATCCATCCATCCATCCATCCAATTGTCTGTTATTACGTCCATCCAATTGTCTGTTATTGCATCCATCCATCCAAATGTCCTATTCCATCCATCCATCCATCCATCCAACAAAATGTCTGTTATTCCATCCATCCATCCATCCATCCATCCATCCATCCATCCATCCATCCATCCATCCATCCATCCATCCATCCATCCATCCATCCATACACACATACCTACATAGATACATACATACATGCATCCAAGTGGTAATACAAATAATAATAAATATGTACATTTAAATATACAGTAATAATAATAATCAGTATATTTACAATGGTTCTTTTATGATCATCTAGAAGTGTGTGTGTAAGCGTGCATGTGTGTGTGCGTGTGTGAATTTGAACTCAAAAATCTAATTGACTCACATATGTATTACTAAAGCATTTCTGATGTTCGAGCACATGAAAACAAATGACATGGTAGTAGTGAAAACAAAAATACAATGATTTAACAGTTAACTATTTACAATAAATTAATAATATTAAATAATAATATTCGCTCTCTCTTTTTCTCTCCCTTCCTCAGCCATGCATCTGATGTGATGGAGACTTCGGGGTGGAAGTCAATGGTGGCGTCTCACCCTCACCTGGTTGCCGAAGCATACCGTTCACTGGCCTCCGCCCAGTGCCCTTTCCTGGGTCCTCCCCGCAAACGGCTCAAACAGTCTTAGTGGCTTCTCATACCGTTTCCTAACCTGCTCACTTACACACACACTTAAACACAACTGCCTACAAGATGGGGGGGCGTTATTTTAGATTTACATCCCCCCCAAGCTCTGTCCCTTTAGATGCCTAAACCAGCTCTTGACCTGCCCCTCCCTTCACGTTATCCAGACAGAACCTTTTGGCACCGAGGACCATCTTTGTGTCTGTCCTCAATTTTGGGGAGTGTGGAGGCTGCCACAGGTCGATTCCTGTTCAAGAAGCAAGGCCGACCTGGATCAGTCAGTTCATCTGTCCAGTAGAGAAATGATTGTGGATTCAGAGTGGGCAGGTGGATCAGGGTTGAGCTTTCAGGTTGGGCGGGTAAACACGAGATGGATTAAGACTAGACTTTATACGTAACTCCTTCCACTGGGACACTGTGTGCTCTCCTTCACTGTGTGAATCAGTTCTCCATCTCCACTTCCTCCTTACTTCATAAAAAAAGAAGAAACACAATCAGTTGATAGACATTCCCCTTTATGGTCATGGATGGAGGGATCTCTCTTTTAAACGGAATGGAAGACTAACTCCTTTATCGTTGCGAAAGTACTTTTAAATAGGTAGCATGTGTCTTCGTAATGACGACATCAGTAGATTCCTGTGTGACTTTATGAATCACGTGATGACAAACCAATTTTTTTTCCAGAACTGTCCTCCGTTTCTTGGGAAATTGAGCCTAAAATTTGTCAACTCCATGAAATTTTGGCCTAAAAACAAGCCTAGCTTCCAAACGTTTAGGTGGACTTCGGATGGTTTGGTCTTCGTTTACATGGCGAAAAAATAAATTGACAGATTTGTTGAGTGATGTAAAAAAAAAAAAAAAAGAAATGGGGAAATGCTTATGGAACTTTGTTTTTTTTCCCCCCTTGTGATGTTTATTTGGGATTTTCCTCCTTGTAGCACTTGTGTATTTGAATCCAGGCTTTCTGTATGAAAAAAAATGCCAAAAAACACAAACCTGTCTGTGTTTGTGTTTTCCTTTTTGTTTCATGACAGCCACAATATCATGTTTGGTTTACGGGGTTATCTTAGCAATCTTATCCTGATTTCTGCTGATTTAATTTTCTCTCCATGTTTGGTCTCCGTTATAGATCAAATAGACAAATATTCATAGATAAATCTGGAGCTCTTTCTGAAACCAAGATCTGGCTTTTTTAAATAAATAAAGGGGTGGTGTACTAGGATATCATATTTTAAACTTTAGTTGATGTGTAATGTTGCTGTTCAATGCAAAGGGAGACATTGGCTTTTACAGAGTTATCTTGGCAAAGCCTAAAGCGAACGAAGTTTCGGGACTACAAAAAATACATCCAGGGTAGTGACATCACAAACACTTCAGGTTACATGCATTCACCACATCCAGCGAAGGGGCGTAGCCAGAGGCGCTGTAATGTTATAGTCGAGAAAGGCAAAATGCCATCCAAACACTGCTATTTCCACATAGCTTGTTCTATTTCTGCATTTGGGCTTCCAAAGGACATGACACAAAGAGAGAAGTGCTTACAGTTAAATTTTAATTATGTTCCAGAAAATTATAAAACAAATATAGAGCTAGCATTTGACAAAGGACAGCTTCCAGAATCTCTCCCAATTCAGTGCTGGATTTGGCTAAAAACTCCTTAACGAAGGAGCAGCTCCAACCATAATAGAAGAAGCTGTGGATTGTGAAAAAATATATTTTTTTTTTCTTAAAATTGATTAATTACATGCATAGTTTCTTGCATTAACGGTATGTTGTAGTGAGGACGTCAATAAGGGTGTAAACAATGGGAAATGCTGTTTGGCACAGGTAACAATTTAGCTACAAATTCATATTTATCAGTCAAACCACGTTAACTGCCACAATTCTCACCAGTGCATGCAGTGTCTCTTTTTTGTGACTGCTTTCTCTGTGTTCATCTAAATAACGAACTCGCAAAAGATAAGTGAACATTTCATATTACTTACACATGCTAATTCTGAATATATATTTTATATATATATAAAAGACATATGAGAGCAGGCGTGAGGTTCAGCTTTGTCCTCTGTGTCATGTTCTGTCTAATTCTGGCACAAACAGCTACTCTGACTGACCGTTTACACAGCTCGTGCTTGTAGGGTTGTTACACTTCCTGATGACGTGAAGCCGATCCGCAAATCACAGCACAAGTGATTACACAAGTGATGTGTAAGATGACCAATAAGAGCCTTTTTAGGACGGCCTTTTCAGAGGAACTAGGAAATATGACAGTTGTTTTCATGTTAGCTAAGTAGCTGTATATAATCAAAGAAAGGTATATGAAATATAAGAGGTAAATGGTATATAATTTTCTACAAATGAAGCTTGAGCACATATTGCTTTGCACCTTATAAAAACAACCAACCCTTAAAAATACTCTCTGGACCACCCCTTTAAACAAAAATTTGTCCAGCTGACAGAACACAGTTTTTAGTTGCAAAAAAAAAAAAAAAAAAAAAAAAGGAATTTCGTCCAGGGCTTAAAATAATATAAAAATAACAATATAAAAGTCAAACTGCGCGCAATAATTACTTAATGCATATTAGGACTTAAAAAGATATGACTGTAAAAAGGTGGTACAGTATATGCATAGAGAAGTAAAGGTCATACATTTACTACACAAAAATATTTGGTATACAGCATGTTACTTAGTGATATACAAGTTTTTCAATTATATGATTACTAACAGTAACAAGAAACAATACAAATTTGAATTATATTCCTGAAAACTTTTAAGTATCAAGAAAAAAGTAAGACTTCACAATTAGGTTGTATTAGTTCATGTTTTATTAACACAAACAATTAAAGATCAGTATATTTATTGCAGTATTAAGTCATCTTTGTTAATGTTAGTTAATGGAAAAAGTTGTTCATTATTAGGTCACATTAACTCATGGTGCATTTAAATTTAACATCTAATGTTGAGTGCACAGTGATCGGCAAGTGAAGAGCAGGGGAAGGTGGGGATGGGCGGTGAAAGGCCAGATTGAACGTCAGGCCACCGGGAAATGTCCCGGTGCTCCATGTGGTCAGTCCGTCCCTGGTAAATGCATTAACTAATGAAACCATATTGAAAAGTATGACCAAAAATTGACATACAATTGAGTTTTCCAGTCAAATCTCTTTGCAAAATGCCATATGTTCTACTACTTGTGTTGGTATATGTGTACATTTAACATTCATATTTGTTCTATTCATTACTTATTTTTATTGCAATGTCATACTCCAATAACTTCCTACATTTCCAGATGTACAGTATACAGCAGGACAACACTGGAGTTCTCTCTGTCCAGTCATGCACTCAACTTGACCAATTGTTTCCATGTGTGACTAGTCAACCGTAAGTAAAATCATCTGTAATTAACATTTCTTTCTTGACCTGATAGGATCAGGCAGCTGAAACAATTATATTTATATGTATACACACACATACACACAGTTGAAATCAGAATTATTAGCCCCTTGTTTATTTTTTCCCCCAATTTCTGTTTAACGGAGAGATTTTTTTCAACACATTTCTAAACATAATAGTTTTAACAACTAATCTCTAATAACTAATAACTAATAATTTTTTGACCTTTGCCATGATGACAGTAAATAATATTTGATTAGATATTTTTCAAGACACTTCTATACAGCTTAAAGTGACATATAAAGGCTTAACTAGGTTAATTAGGTTAACAAGGTAGGTTAGGGTAATTGTATAACGATTTGTTCTGTTGGCTATTGAATAAATATATAGCTTAAAGGAGCAAATCATTTTAACTTTAAAATGTTTAAATTTAAGACTGCTTTTTTTCCCCTAGTTGTAATAAAGCAAATAAGACTTTTTCCAGAAGAACAAATATTATCAGACATTCTGTAAAAATTTCCTTGCTCTGTTAAAAATCATTTGGGAAATATTTATAAAAGAAAAGAAAAAATATCAAGGGTGGGCTAATAATTCTAATAATTCTGACTTCAACTGTATGTATGTATGTATCATACAGCTGTGCTGTGTTAAAAATTTATAGACATGCTTACCGACCTTGGTGGAAACAAGCCACAAAACTGCTTGAGCATTGAATTGACCAATCAGATGCCATAACTAAAGCATAGCGTTTTGTAATGTACAATATGAACAAATTTTATTAGTGCCCTAGATATAGAGGCTTTCTTTTGGCTTTACTTTATAATATTTCTTCAATTTGAATGTTTCAACATCCTAAAACTTTAAATATGATTTTCAGTCACAGATTTCCATTCTGGACTTTTGGACTTTGTATATTAACCAAAAAAAAACGTAAATCTCATTTTTAACCATTTTTTTTTAAGAGTCTCATTTTTCTTCCTGCTAATGGGACTCGGGTCACCGGCTCTTTTATGATTTACCAGTTGGAAAGTCGTCGCAATAAACTTGGCTCAAGTGTTTTCTGGAACTCACCTGCGGGCTGTTTCATAAATGGGCTCTGATGAGCGAACCAGTGGATTAGAAGTGAAAAGAAGGTGGCTGTTTTTTTTTGTCTGTATTTTTTTCTCTCCCAAGTACATCCTGAAATGTTTCTAATTGAGGTTTTTTTTTTTCTCAAAGCCTCTTGAAATTCTAATACTCTCTCTACTCTGTTTAACAAGACTGGGGGAGAAAAAAAAAGCACTTACGAATATTAGATACGCGTGGCCTGTATAATCCCCTGTGGGTAGAATGTGTTTTTTTCTTTTCTTATTTGTGTGGCATGAAGTGGTGAGCTTATAAAAATGTGTGCCTCCATGCGTGCAGGTAAGCTCATAAAAACAGTGTGTGTGTGTTGTCCTTGAGCGTGTGGAATGAAGCATTTGTTTGTGTATTGATGGTCCAGTTCTGGTTCAAGGTTTCGGAGCTTATGAACCACTTTTCTGTTGTACAATTACTAGGGCTGCAGAGTATATCGTTTCAACATCGATATCGCAATGTGATAATTCGCAGTAGTCACATAAAAAGATATGCAATGTTGAGTTTGGATTATAATTTATCATTTGCGTGTGTTTTCATGCCTGTGTCTCAATCAAATATTTCCAAATAGAGATATTAAGTCATCTAGAGAAATAGAATTAATATCGCAATGTATATATCGCGAAAAAAAAATATATCACTGTGTTAGACTCCCCAATATCGTGCAGCCCTAACAGTTACGTCATGTCACTGTTCCTTTTTTCTTCACTTACGTATTATTTTTTTTGTAGTTCAGTGTGTATGCGCCCAATTTGCAATCAAGTGTGCAATTTATGGGACTATGTGCTGAGATCAATACGACATCTGTTGATCGATAGATACGAGAGCACAAATGGCCAATCACCAGTCCTCCGTCTCTCTCTCCATCACTCTGTCTCTTTTATTGAATGGAGGGTTGCAGCAGGTCAACTCTGCAAACGGGATGAACAGCTCTGTGTCTCTGTCGCTTTCAGCAGGAGCGAGAGAGAGATGGATGGATGGATGGTCGGTCTTGTGCGCTGGCTGTCTAAAGAGGTGGAGGGAGGGAGGAAGTGTGGGTAATTGTGGTTTGGAAAAAGAGGAACACAATCATGCTTGACGCTAGTAAAAGGGCTTTACATGGGGATATGTGCTTTCTTACTGCATTTTCTGACACAGATTTTTGGCCAAAATCTCTTTTAATTCTATTAATACCTTGTGTCGGTTGCCTTGGAAATAAATAAAAATAATAATAATAATAAAAAAGAACATACAACAAATAAACACGTAAAACAGCCACTGTAATGTTTTTGTGATTGAAGGGACACAATTTTGGTCAATGTGAGCAAAGTGGCTTGTAAATCGGAGTGAAAATTGAAAAATGGTGATTATTTGTTGAT